TAGCCAAAGGTTTGTCTTGAACTTAAGAAGATTTTTTTAAGTCCATTTTGCTGTTAACCCTAAAAATTATACTTAAAAAGTATCTATTAAATTTGCAGAAGGTCTACATAAAGCCTGGAGGTCAAATGATACCATTCAGATACTTAATTGCAGTCATGGGATGCAAAAAAATAAAATATATTTAATAAAAATCACTTCAAGAACATTGTTTTTACAAACTTTACGGTTTCCACATGGGCGGGGGGGGGGGGGGCATTTTTATCTTCTTTCACCCAGTCTCACAGGACTGGTTTTCTCTCAGATCTGCACCACATGCAGAGTGCACGTCCCAAACCCAGTGACTCTCATTGTAACCGAGCTGAAAGGTTTCTTGTTTGTTTTTCTTCTTTCGGCTGCTCCATTCTTCAGGGGTTCCAATCCAACTCGAGTATAAAATAAATAAAATACTTCAGGGGTAACCACAGCGAACCAAGTTGCACGAAGATCTGAATTATTTTTACGCCGGATGTCCTTCCTGACACGACCACTGAGCTACCACAGTCCTCTATGTGGAGCAGAGAGCTGCATCTAGGGTGCTCGGGGGTTAAATGCCTTGCTCAAGGGCCCAGAGTGGAGCAGACGAGGGTGGAGGCAGATGTAGGCGTTTCACCTTTCACACCCACATTTTGCTGTCGTCGGTACGGGGAGTTGAACCGGCGACCCTCCGATCAAAGGCACACCTTCTTCAACCTCTGCGCCACCACTCCTTTAGTAACTGAGCTCAAAGTATTTTCTTCAAAACTGAACTTGTCGTATCTGCTACACAAAACGCTGCAGACGAGTCAAATTAATCTGCGATGACTCGGCACTTCTGCCACAGAGACATTTTTTTATGATTGTTGCACCGGGACAGATTGAGGCTGAATTTTTGTCAGTGTTTATCTACTTCATTAGGTTATGTCTATGGTATACATAATGTATACAGATTTGTGGTTACCATGGTGACAATCATGAGCCGCAGGCAGCAGTTTTAACACTTGTAATCAACCGCCTAAAAAAACAGCACCGAGTCGACCTGGCTCGACCTCTAAACAGAGAAACTGGATTTAATACAAATTATTTTTTTCTTCTTCTCCAAAATATGTTGAAATCATGAAGAAGTCACTCCATGTTTCAAATGACAATATTAGGGGCGGCTGTGGCCGAGTGGTTAGAGCAGTCGTCCTCCAATGCAAGAGTTGGGGGTTCGATTCCACCAGCAGTCACATGCCGGAGTGTCCCTGGGCAAGACGCTGAACCCCTCACTGCCTCTGATGTGTGTCCCATCGGTGTTTGAATGTGATAATGCTCTGATTAGTCTTTGTACAGAAACAGTAAAGTGTTGTATGAATGGGAAAATGAGGACACAGATTGTTGTAAAGAGCTTTGAGTGTCGATTAGATTTACAGTGAGGAAAATAAGTATTTGAACACGCTGCGACTTTGCAAGTTCTCCCACTTAGAAATCATGGAGGGGTCTGAAATGTTCATCTTAGGTGCATGTTCACTGTGAGAGAATCTAAAAAAATCCAGAAATCACAATGTAAGATTTTTTAAATAATTTATTTGTGAGTTACTGCTGTAAAGTATGTGAACACCTGTCAATCAGCAACAGTTCTGGCCCTCAAAGACCTGTTAGTCCACCTCCACTCCACTTATTATTCTACATTAGAAGCCCCTGTTTGAGGTGGTTAGATGCATAAAGACACCGGTCCACCCCACACAGTCAGTAAGACTCCAACTACTAACATGGCTAAGACCAAAGAGCTGTCCAAACACACCAGAGACTAAATTGTAGACCTCCACAAGGCTGGAAAGGTCTACGAGGCAATTACAAGCAGCTTGGTGAAAAACGATCAACTGTTGGAGCAATTATTAGAAAATGGAAGAAGCTAAACATGATTGTCAATCTCCCTCGGACTGGGGCTCCATGCAAGATCTCACCTTGTGGCGTATCAATGATCTAAGAAAGGTGAAGAATCAGCCCAGAACTACACGGGAGGAGCTGGTCAATGACCTGAAGAGAGCTGGCACCACTGGTTCCATGGTTACTGTGGGGAATACACTAAGACGTCATAGTTTAAAATCACGCATGGCACGGAAGGTTCTTCTGCTTAAATCAGCGCACGTCCAGGTCCGTCTCAAGTTTGACCATGACCATTTGGATGATCCAGAGGAGTCGTGGGAGAAAGTTCTGTGGTCACATGAGACCAAAATAGAAAGTTTTGGTCTTAATTCCACTCGCCGTGTTTGGAGGACGAAGAACGATGAGTACCATCCCAAAACTACCATCCCTGCTGTGAAGCATGGGGGTGGAAGCATCATGCTTTGGGGGTGTTTTTCTGCACATGGGACAGGACGACTGCACTGTATTAAGGAGAGGATGACCGGGGCCATGAATTGAGAGATGTTGGGGAACAACCTCCTTCCCTCAGAGCATTGAAGATGGGTCGAGGCTGGGTCTTCCAACATGACGATGACCCGAAGCACACAGCCAGGAGAACCAAGGAGTGGCTCCATAAGAAGCATATCAGGGTTCTGGAGTGGCCTAGCCAGTCTCCAGACCTAAACCCTATAGAAAATCTTTGGAGGGAGCTCAAACTCAGTGTTTCTCAGGGACAGCCCAGAAACCTGCTGATCTAGAGAAGATCTGTGGAGGAATGGACCAGAATCTCTGCTGCAGTGAACCTGGTGAAGAACTACAGGAAACATCTGACCTGTCACTGCAAACAAAGATACTGTACCAAATATTAACAGTGATGTTCACAGGTGTTCAAATACTTATTTTCCTTACCATTTAAAAACCATAAGCCTCGTATTAATTCAGGGTTTGAGGCATACCAACATTTAAACGGTCACACCTTCCAACATTTTCAGATTTTCAAAACTCAAAATGCTCCTCAGGTGATTCGTTTCTCTTTTTTCTGTACCTGGACACATCTCCTGATCTTTGTTCTCTTACCCCTTTTTCTAAAGTTCATACGTCGCAACACATTTTGTCACCTCAGATTACAAAAGCAAGACCCAAACTAGAAAGTTTCTGGAGAAACTTTGACGGGGACCGCCACGTGGCGGCCATTTTTAAATTTAGACGACAACGTTTTGATACGCGTTTCTCACGGTGGGACGAGTTTGTTCGACGTCCAGGGACCTCTCCACTCGTGGTCATGTGACCTCGCTGTGGCAGAAGCTGTAAAGAGTTCCGTGTTTTTTAATGAGGAAAAATTGCGTCTTTGTTTGCAAATTACGTTGCCATGGTAACTCGAAACGCCAATCAAAGTAACGGCGCACATCACAGTGTTGAGCCGGTCGTTTTGATACAACATTTGAGGGGGTGCATGTTGCAGTTCAGGCCACCTTAAAGTTGACAGAAGAGCAGGACCCTTTTCAGGTGGATTTCTTCTCGCTGCCCATCACCTCTGAGCTGCACCTCCAGCTCTGCTATCGGTTGATTTAGATCGACGTAACACCCACCACTCCCTAAACCAAAGACTTACGTGGAGCTGCCCAGGGGCTCTGAGGTGGACTCATCCTGTAGACGTTGTGATCAGGGCAACGTTTCAGAAGGCTGTACCAAACTCCGAGCCGATCGGCGTCGTGTTGGGATTTAAATTCAATAAACACCTAAAGCACACACCGACCATTAGACAGCAGGTCTACAAGCGTCTATATCAATAGAAAGTTGCATCTTGTAATACTTTGTTGAGAAGAGGCAGGTAGTTCCTTATGGAGGCGACTTTGGTCACAGCTTCTCTCAGGTTCTTCACCTGGCTTGGTGAGATGTTGTGGATTAAGATGATGTTCGTTCCATCAGACTTTAGTTTCTGTTTGAAGAACAACAAAACTAGAG